TACATCTATCCTCAATAAAAAATCGAAATGCAGATGCGTTGTCGCCCGTGAGGACTAAGATGGAATGCCTCTTTTCCAGTAAAAAGGGTCTCCGGTTCTCTACACTCACCATACGCAAACCCAAACCCAACACCAAACACAGCAGTGTTAGGCTGCTATTTTACGCTGGTATTCTGTGAGAGCGTGGTCCTTCCCCGGTCGAGCCGACCCATTCGTGCTACAACTATACTACTAATATAGCTGCAGCATGGCTCTACCACGTAAAAAACGCTACCAAGTTATTTCTAATTTGTTTTATGTGGTTAATTGTGATTACATGATTGTAACCTGTTATTTAAAAAACAAAGTCCCGCTGGGTTTCTTGCTGGTTCCTACCAGGACAGAGGTTTTTTTTTCGAACCAGTGGTAATTAAACAAAAGAGTGACTCAACAAGTATTATTTATAATCTAATATTGAATAAAAAAGTTTCTGTTTCAAGAAATTAGAACATTATGGTGTAAAAATATTGTGCTTATATCTCCATATATAAAAATCAATTGCTGTCCGTTGGTCTCGCAAAATCTCGAAAATGGCTGGACCAATTTTGATGAAATTGTTTGTGTGTAATTTGTGTTACCCCATGACATCAAGCTATGAAAGTAGGTACCTAACTGAAATAAACTAATCCATTTCAACATTGGTGAGACTTCTAATTTTTCTTTCTACTGATCAGATGCTGCAGGACTAAGTCTGCGTGCTGAATTAGAGGCCCATTGGTTCTCGCGGCAATATTTAATTCCACAAGAACAGTGAAATCCACAAGACTTAACTCCTCCTCATTTAAGAGCACATTGGTATTAACAATATTATGACCTACATAATATTGTTAAATAATAAAATTTACAATAACTACCTAGTTATTGTAAATTTTATACATTTTGTTGTTGCCGTTTAAAAGCAAATTGTAGGCGGTAAAACAATGTACTAATATCATATAATATCGATAGAGCGATTTATTATCCACGTCATCATAATTAATCGATTGCCATTTGAGTTTGAAAATTAATGAGGTATCATATGGGTATCATGAGCAAATAATACTATATCGTGATTGTTGTTATCAAGTTTTTATCTGAACGACGTGAAAGGGTCAGATTATATAAATAAATGTTTGAAAGAGTATGGTAAATCGCTGTGAGTTAAAAAGAGTGACACAGAATTGAGAAGACATCTGCTTAGTTAAAAAAAAAGAAAAATTAGAAAATCGCTGTAAGTTAAAAAAGTGATACAGAATTGAGAAGCAATCTGCTTAGTTAAAAAATGGAAATGTAGACCTGCTTAGTGTAATATTGGGGCGAACTGCATCGCGAACGGATGTGAGTGATGCAGCAGCCCCAATATTACCCTACTGACTTGTGATAGGCTGTGGTGAGTTACAATACTCTCTGTATACTAAGTTTTTATTCGTTCTTATTAAAATACTGGATAGTAACTTTATGAGTCAATACTGTTTTGTTTTTTCGCTTTAACTTGACAATTTAAGCTACGTTTTAGGAATACTATTAGAAATAAACTACACTAAGTACTCTTTTTTTTTCTATTTTTACATGCTATATATTAACTTTTACCACTTGCTCGGTGGTGAGGGAGGGCATCTTGAGGAAGACTGCATGTCTGTGAAATTAATAAAATGTTTCAGACATGTGAACTTCGTCAATTGGGGCAGCGCGACGGACATTTCTTTCCCCTAGGACCCTCTCAGAAATGAGAGGTCCGCCCAACGTAGGAAGTATATAGGCTGTAACTTTAACTTCTTGTTTTCTTAGTTTGCTTCTACCGTTTAAATTTTTTTATCATGTTTGATTTTTAATCATTAGATACAAATTATTAGTAGTATAAAATACTATATGAGGATGAGTCGCTCGCGTCCGTAGGCTTCGACCACCTAATCCTACACGTGTCCCCCGGGTGGTGCTACACGAGCGACAAAGCCAGAAGGTCAGACTCGGCTTCTCACCATGTGGTAGCAGCGTAAAATATACCATCCCCTAGTTTCGCACCATGAGGCAAAGACAAGAAATAGCCCTGAGTTCCCGGCGCTCTTTTAATCGGGCAGGGGTGCGAAGAATCTCCGGGAGGAAAACCGGCGACAAGGTTCGCCACCCGTTACGTGCTGTCTCTCGGAAGCGAAAAATGGATTGCGGAAGCCCATCGCTGAATGTATGTGGAGCAATAAATGATAAGATGGATGAAGTATGCGATATAATGTATGATAGAGGAATAGACGTGTTATGTGTAAATGAGACGAAACGGAAGGGAAAGGATGCCACTACACATGGCATGTATACCGCGTACTGGTCTGGTGTAAAAGAGATCGAGCGGGCATGCCAGGGAGTTGGTATCATCCTTTCAGAAATAATGGGTCAATGTGTGAAATAGTATGAATGTGTAAGCCCGAGACTGCTATGGATACCAATGAAAGTGGGCTTAAAGAAGTTGTTTGTTTTAGGGGTCTACGCCCCAGACATGTCTAAGCCCACTTATATGCGAGAGGAGTTTTGTGAGATTGGTAAGGATGTTGTTAATGAAATGTAAGGGAAATGAAAATATTGTTTTGTTAGGACATTTTAATGGAGGGTTTGGGGTTAAGAGGCTTGGTTATGAAAGGATATTGGGAACGTATGGTGATGAAAGTATAAGTGAGAATGGTGAATGCCTCACCGTATTTTTTTTTATAGAATAAGAATGACAAACGAGCACACAGTCCACCTGATGGTAAGTGGTTGCTGCGGCCCATAGACATCTACATCTCTCTTCGTTTGCAAATTAAAATGCAGATGCGTTGTCAGCCGTGAGGACTAAGATAGAATGCCTCTTATCCAGTAAAAAGGGTCTCCGGTTCTCTACACTCACCATACGAAACACAGAAGCATTAAGCTGCTATTTTACGCTGGTATCATGTGGTCCTTCCCCGGTCGAGTCGACCCATTCGTGCTACAACTATACTATTAATATAGCTGCAGCATGGCTGTGGAAAGTGGAAAAGAAATGTGGAAAAGAATATTTCTGTGACGAACTCTTTCGTTATAAGAAGATTCACAATAATATACAAGGAAAAGACATAATGATGGCATGACTGATTTCATAGTTCTGGATGAAAAAATGAGGTGTGTAGTGGTAGATACAACTATTTTTATTAATAATATATATAAATATAAAGGCCTCCTAAAATACAATAATTTAAGACTACCCACAACATCTTCCCATATAGTTTAGAATAAGTTTTTAACAAAAGTGATTTTTTTTACCGTTTTCAAAAAGGAGACGGTACTCAATTCGACTGTATATTTTTTATGTGTGTTACCTCATGACTGTTTTCTGGGTGAACCGATTTCGATGATTCTTTTTTTTATTTGAAAGCTGGTGCTTCACATGTGGTCCCATATAAATTTGATCAAGATATGATCAGTAGTTTTTGAGTTATCCTTAATAATTTATATTGAAGTCGGTTGTACACAATTTTTAACTTTAAATTATTTAAAAATAATTTTACCAAGTAAGAAATGAATAAAAGTCTTACTTAAGTACTAATATTTTTTTTACAATTTTTTTAGTACATTTTTTTAGTAATCACTAAGACTATATAAAGAATTAAGCAGGTTATTTTTTTTTTATTTACTTTACTTCGAGTATGAGGAGGAAAATAATTTTCATCAACTTCATTATTTAACATTGTTGTTTCATATTCATCGTCTGAAGAATATTCCTCATTCTCACTACTCGTCGAAGTAGTTTTTTTTGTAATTGAATTATGTTCTTTATTCTCATGAACTATTTTTTTAACCTTTTATACGTTGTAGAGCCATGCTGCAGCTATATTTCTGGTATAGTTCGGCTCGACCGGCGAAGGACCACGCTCTCACAGAATACCAGCGTAAAATAGCAGCTTGATGCAGATGTCTTTCGTATGGTGAGTGTAGAGAACCGGAGACCAAGACGAGGCATTCCATCTTAGTCCTCACGGGTGACAACGCATCTGCATTTTGATTCGTAATCGAGGATAAATGTAGATGTCTATGGGTCACAGCAACCACTTACCATCAGGTTGACTGTGTGCTCGTTTGTCACCCTTATCCTATAAAAAAAATATTTCCTCTGACGTTCTAATTTCTTGGGTTTTTTCTTTTATGAGATGTCTGCAATTGCGATGAGACACCATTCCTCTTTTAATTTTAATAAAATATGAGTGGGGAGTCGAAGCTTTTACAACGACATAATCTGGCATTTTACAATTTTTTTCTATCATATGTGTTGTCTATCATTATCTACATGACCTATTTGAAAGGTCCGGGTACACAGGTAGCCTGCATTTTAGCCTACGACCCATCAGCAGCTGTGCAAGAGAATCCAAATTATCCCCTTCAGCCCTTAATTAGATAACGTATAAATGTCCAGTTAATTTGTCAAGCTGATTAGCAAGCTAAATAATGAACCGAATTCCCAGTAAGAATATAAAACGAATGTGTTCACTTCTAGTAACTGTGGTTTTTAAGATGCAGTAACGGGATAGGTAAATGAAATAAACTAATAACGTCGGTCAATTCAGTTATCAAGGGCAAGCGGCAGTTTGCGATCGCAACAAGTGCTACGTGCGTCGGCGTAGACCGCGTAGGGCGTGCGTCCCGCCGCCTGTGGTTTCGCGCCAATTCGCGGTCGCAGTGACGGGAAGCGCGTCCCGCGAGCGGGACACGACACGTTCACGGTTTGTGCATAACCGCGATTTTATATACGATAAAACTTTAATCGGTGGTCCAATTCATAATTAGTTTTATTTGATGCGAAAACAAAACATAAAATATGCTTTCACACACACGCAAATCTCAATATACAAAAACTTTAATGTTATTGAGATAAAAGTTAATAATGGTGACGAAGTTAATTTTAAATAAATGTCTGTTCTTGAAAATGTGTTTTAAATTCAAACGATACTTTGGTGCTGTAATATAAAGTTGTGGTTGAAATGGCAGAAGAAATGGTTACGGATGCGGCAACAGCCGATCCGGCTCCGCATCGCTCTCCAACCCCCGAGTTACATGCGACGTATACTTCTTTAGAAATTCTAGTGGCTTTGGTGGCGGTGGTCGGTAATGCAATGGTGATACATGTATTCCGCGGCGACCGAAGATTGCGTCGCCGAACAAATTATTATATAGTGTCTCTTGCTGTGGCAGACTTACTTGTTGGTCTTTTGGGAATACCTTTCGCCATATTGGCCTCAGTGGGTCTACCGAGAAACCTTCACGCCTGTCTTTTCACAGTGTCACTATTGGTGATGCTTTGCACAATAAGTATCTTCTGCTTGGTTGCGGTATCTGTAGACCGGTACTGGGCTATTCTCTACCCCATGTGCTACTCCAGAAACGTTCGCACCAGGACTGCTATTTGTGAGTATTCATTTTATTTAGAACTAAATGATGCAAATTTTTTTTAATATAGTATAATAGGCCACAACATTGTGGAAGGTTATTGATATATTTTATCACAGATCATTGGTTATTTTTATTGATAATATAATTTGAATACAATAGTCACTAATTACTAACATGGTAGTAATGGTTACACATAAAATCAGTTTTGCAGACTAATTATTTTATGCTGATCCATTGAGACGCATAAGTTACATATTATAATTATAGGAGTCTATAAAATAAATATCGATGGATTAATCGACGTTGTTTATGATCAAACTAGCTTCATTCGGGTTAACTAAACTTTTTAATTTTTCTCAGTATGCAACGTGGTCTTTGCTGCTAAGTTACGTGAATTTATAGTCAATAATGTCCTCATTTTCATCAATTAACATACGTTGCTTGCATTTTTAAACTATCGCATAAGGACGTGCTAAACGTACAAATTGATTGACATTTGACAATACCCAAAAATGAGTGGGTATATTAATTTTGTTCTTATACAAATTATAGCAAATATTTTTTTATTTTTGACGTGCTGATTAGTCCCACACAGCTCCAGTGCGACTGGAACTGAATACCAATTTTAAAAAATAAGAAAATTCGATAAAATACATATATTATCAATATACTCATATTGCGTCGGCTCGATCGGGGAACACCAGTAACTTGTAGAATTACAGATTTACGTCAGCCGTAAATAACCAGGAACAACGCCTAAGGTGCGAGATATCTGACAGCAATCACCAGTCAAGCATGTCGATTAAGGTAATTACTCCTTAAAACGGGAGTGTTAATGTCCTTTATAGTCCATAAAGGTTATTAACGTCTTATGGAGGAGAAGAAAAAGAGAAAATGTGCCAACCAGCACACGGTGCAGCATGTTGATTTTTAACAGCATTATTACTGCAAGGGTATCAGCTCTGCGCGCACTAACCTGCTGCCCTGTGCCTGTGTGGTGAATTTGGCTAAATGTTCATTCTAATGTCTTGAATACCATTCTTGGAAAGGCTGTGAACTTAGAAGGCTGTAGTTGATAATGTTGATGATTAGAATTTAGGTTTTTATTCGATAATTAGAAGTTATGATGCTGTAACACATGCATGAATAAACAGACGGAGAGGGAAATCCCAAATATGTAGGAAAATAATGAGTTATTATGATCTACAGTAGCAGGTATTGTTGATATCTGATTTAGGTTTTTACATTGTTCTTCAAAGAGTAACAGATATTTTCGCTTGACATTTTGTAATGAGATTTATTTATCACATTTCCAAAATAAAAATGGCACGGGACTGGAGAAGTACTATGTTCTGACAAATTAAAATGCGGCTTAAAATAGCTGATTTTGCTTGTTTCGTATGCTGAGTATAGAGAAATGGAGATCTTTTTTACTAGTAACGAGACATCTTAGCCCTCTTAGATAACAAGGTATCAGCACTTTGATGTTTAATTGAAGACAAACACACTACAGTTACAGATTATTACAATTACAGACTACAGTATTCATTTACCATCAGGTTGACTGTGCTCGTTTGTTGTTACCGCATAGATATTTCTATTAAAAAATTAAAATTTAAAATTCTAATTATTATAAATATTCATATCAGTTTTTGTTCGTATAATGTGTTATTTTTGCCAGGGTTGCGAGAATCATTACGGAACATGGTATATCTAATATGCATCAGAATACGCTAAAAATATACTGTTTATTAAGCTCTGTACTGGTTATTAGAATTCTGTGACGTTATCCAAATGTTAATTTTAGTATGTTTCTCATTACACACTTCTAAGCGATTTGCCACTGCTTATAGGATACATTGTCCCCAGTAATAGCTTTTGTGGGGTTTCATTGTCTTTTGGGCTAAATTGCTTTGATTGAAATTGTATCGCCCGTTTGCCGGATGATTTGATTTTATTAGTATTGGATGATCCTGAAATGGAAGTCCGTAGTCTTTGCTTCCCTATGGTCTATTTCTTACCTTGAACTTGTGATATTTATTCCTCCATCTAAAATTGTAAAAAAGTTAAACCTTTAAAAAGTAAACAAACGACTTGAAAACTACAAAGACTGATCATATTTTCACATAATAACTTCTGAAGTCGGTAAACACAGTGGCGTAGCTAGGCGTGTGTGATGTGGACCCACGCCCACGGCCACCTCATCGCATTTTAATGGGGCTCATTAGGCCCCTATAAGTGGGCCTCGTGAAGCCCATTAAAATGCGGTGTGGGGCTGGGGGACTTTACCACAGATGACTAATTAATTTGATCACGTTGAAGAATAATGTTGTTTCGTATGCTGAGTATAGAGAAATGGAGATCTTTTTTACTAGTAACGAGACATCTTAGTCTTCTTAGATAACAAGGTATCTGCACTTTGATGTTTAATTGAAGACAAACACACTACAGTTACAGATTATTACAATTACAGACTACAGTATTCATTTACCATCAGGTTGACTGTGCTCGTTTGTTGTTACCGCATAGATATAATAGCGACCGCATAGATTATAGTATGCCCCAAACTTTACCACAGATAACTAATTAATTTGATCACGTTGAAGAATAATGTTTCAAATATATTTAAATTTTTTATTTTAAAAGGTAATTTGTTATGCTGGTAACATTACTAAAATTCCTATCAACTCTCTAGCTTAGCCTAGAACAGTTGTAGTATTAAGAGTGTTTCACGACAGTAGTCAAATAGCTAGTTTGAACCTATTATAAAATAGAAAACCTACCCATAAACTATTAGGCTTTATTGCTTGATTATAATAAACAATATAGCATATGCTCTGCAGACAATTATAAATTTTCATTATACGAATACATTTTTTTTAATAGGAGAGGGGGCAAACAAGCATGCGGCTCACCTGATGGTAATTGACTACCGCCGCCCATAAACAACTGCAACACCAGGAGAATTGCAGATACATTGCCGGCCTTTTAAAAGGAGTAGGATCTTTTCTTGAAGGTCCCTAAGTCGTATCGGTCCGGAAAAATCGCTGGTGGTAATCGATTCCACAAGGAAGTTGTGCAAGTAAGAAAACTTCTTCTAAATCGCACGGTGGTGGACCGCCAATCATCCAGATGGTATGGATGATATTGCGAGTTTTGTCACGATGTGCGATGGTAAAATTTAGCGGCTGGAATTAGTCCGAACAATTCCTCAGAGCACTTCCCGTGGTAGATGAGATAAAATACGCAAAGAGATGCAACATCTCTACGCAGTGCCAGTGAGTCAAGCCGATCGGAAAAAATTCGGTCGTCGACGATTCGAACCGTTCAACAAAGCCTCGACTTCAGACACAAGTTTGTTGTACTCTGCGGCGTTTTCCCAAGAAATATTGGCACGGCCGGTGTATAAAGCCACAGAATACGCGGGGCAGCCTGAGCATCCACGCTAAGAATAAGTAGGTTAGCTTGGGCGTGGATGCGCAGCGAGATAGAATATTATACTATCTGAGTTATAAATAATCTAAACAATCTGTAATTATAAAATCCCTATAAAGAGAATATAATCTACAAAGATGATACCTACAAAGAGAATATAATCACTATGTTTAGATACCTAATGGGTATCTTGGGAACGAAAGAAAAGGGACCTCGCTGATGCGATTTCGCCCACGTCTATATTAGTCCATGCTACGCCTCTGGGTAAACAAATAGCGTATTGAAAATTAAAGGCCCAACTTCAGAAGCTAATGAACGAAGATGCCTCCAGGATACAGGAAAATATCCTAGTGTTGAAATATAGTTTTTTTAAACAATGCTCAAAAGGTTTTTTTTCCTTACCACTGAATCATAAATATGCGATTTGTCAATTAGCAGGAACACTTACAGGCAAACTGAGAGGGTGGGGGGGGGGGGAGTTCAGGGTGCTGTAAAGTCCTCTCTCTTGTATCATTCATCAGAAATTATTAGGTATCACCCTTTTACTATTTCTGCCGTTAAATAGCGGTGTTTCTACAGCCGTATTCCGGTTCACGTTTCGGATGCTAGAGTAGAGTGTTTAATGTAAATTCTCTATTATTTTATATATTATTTTTAGTGTAAATCCATATATATATATATATATATTAGTGTAAATCCATATATACACACATATATACATATATCTTTATATATAAAAATTACGTGTCACATTGTTTGTCCGCGATGAACTCCTAAACTATTGAACTAATTTCAATGAAATTTTGCACACTGTGTTCAGTTTAGTCCAACTTGAGAGATAGGATACTTTTTATCCAGATAAGTGACCTTCAAAATTTTTTTATTGCGAATTTAAGGATTTTTTCATGGGAAGGGTCGTCGGAAAGGGCAGAACAACGTCTGCCTGGCCAGCATATATATAGACGTTTTCATTTTTAGAAAACTAAAATTATTAGGTAAAATTTATTGAAATAGAAATTGCGCTCAGGGTATTAACCTTCGACATACTAGTTGAAAGCTTGAGTACCATAGTCTAAGATGTATTTTCTCGTGTTTTATAAAATTAAAGCAACCGCTTTCGAATGTTTCATTACTGTTCAAGTCTTTTCTCGTTGTTTTAAAGAGTTGCCATTATATTTCAGGATAGGATAGTTTATTTCACATTGTTTTTTTGCATCTCTATACTTATTTCTTCACGATGTTTTTTATCTTTGGCCAAATAAAAATTTCATTTATATGTTTTTAATTTTGGTTAAAGGAAAGTTCAGTATACTTATTTAAACATTATTCTAACGCGACAGATGGGTTCTCGGAATAGAAACAGTAATATTACGTAAGTTCTTTCTGAAACTGTGGATCTTAATGTGCAGCCATGTTTTGCCCAAGAAATATATTATATGGATAGCTTATTGAATAACTTACTATAGCAAATAAATTTAGTATTTTATTTATATAGTTGCATTTTATTTTCTAAAACCTTTTAACAATTATAGTTGGAAGCATCTTTTAATCGCCCTGCCATAGCCTAGATCAGTGGTTCTTAACCTCTTGGAGATGAAGGACCATTTAACCGATTTTTTATCTTGCC